CAGAGGTGGCAGGCGCGCACGCACACACGCGCACGCACACACGCACACACACACACACACACACACACACACACACACACCCTGGCCAAAAATAAGTCACCATCACCAAAAACAAAAAACAAAAATGTTTGCACACTCTAATACTTGGTTGGTCCACCTTCAGCTTTGATTACAGCACACATTGGCCGTGGCCTTGTTTGGATACCTACGACGGAGTATTAAAGCCACACAATGAGATTTTTAAAAAAATTTAAATTACAAGCATAAAGTCATAATATCATGACATTAAAGTCATATGGAAATAAAGTCATAATATTATGCGAACAAAGTTATAATATTATGAGAATAAAGTTATAATACCACAACACTAAAGTCATATGGAAATAAAGTCATAGTAGGAGATTAAAGTCATAATATTGTAGCCTTTTCACAAAAACGCCTGCAGTTATCACTCATTCAAATGAGGAATGTTGAGCAACTTTTCAAGTTGTTTTTTAATATTGCTTAAAATAATTAAACTTTTAGCACATTAGCATTAAACTATTAGTAGCAGCACTTAGATACTGTGCAAACGACTATATGATAAGCATGCACTGACAGATTTAGTCAGCACGCAGCTAATTTGGATGAAAGCATATAAGCTAAGAGTGACCCAGGTCATTGTGGACTACTTCATAAACAGACACATACAGCTGTCCTCAGAAGACGTCAGGATAATAAGGAAATGAGGAACAGAAAATGGACACGTCATGTAAGATTATAAGTTTAATCTCATAATATTATGACTTTATTGTCATAAAATTACGACTGTAATCTTGTAATAAAAATCTTGTTGTGTGGCCCTAATACTCCATCGTAGATAAGCTTCTGTAAAGTGACAAGATTTATTTCCATCCAGAGTTGCACTGATTGTAGAGTCTGACCATCCTTCCTCTGCCTCTCTGATATTTTTCTTCTGGGTTTAACCAGAACTGGACCGGTGCTCCTCCATGTCCTCATGTTCCTCAGTGGAAACTGACAGCTGAGATCTCTGACAGTTTTTGGAGTTCTTCCTTTAAATCATAATGTTAACAATCTTAGTTTTCAGGTCATTTCTGAGTTGTTTGGAGGCCTCATGTTGCCTCTTCAGAGGACATGCACAGTGGACAACTTGAAATTGTTTTTTTCCTCATGTCTCACACCTGTCTGTGTATTTCAAGGCTTAATGAATAATTACAATGCACATTTCAAACAAACCTCATTTCACTACTGGGTCCATTATTGATACATAAAACTGACATATCTGATTTAAACACACAACAATAAAAATAATTAAGATGATGGGGGTGCCCAAACCTGTTCTGACTGTATATATATAAGTAATCCACAGCACCTGGTCCCCAGACCTGACCTGGCTAAATAAAATTAAATTAATTTGTTGTTCGTACCCAACACCCCGCTGGCAGCGCTGTCTAAAGTCCCCCCGTGTCCCATTTTCAGCTGCTGCTGCTTCCTTTTCCGAGGGTTTGTTTGTTGGACACCTGCTTCTGAAACACACAACAGAAAACATTTCATTTGTGTTTGTTTTATTATAAAACATCAGACTGACTTCTTCTTACCTCTGAGCAAGGCTTCTTTGAGAGAAAACAACACGGCAGCAGATGTCGGTCCTGGTTTTTTATAAATGGCAAACAGTCCATGTAAAGACTGCAGTTTGGACAGAGAGCTTGTTACTGGAGCAGCAGTGTTGTTTCCAGCCATGATGCAGCTCTTCTTCTTCTGTCACATGAACAGAACCACAGCTCTGCCGCCACCTGCTGGCAGGTCCAGAACAGAACCACAGCTCTGCCGCCACCTGCTGGCAGGTCCAGAACAGAACCACAGCTCTGCCGCCACCTGCTGGCAGGTCCAGAAC